TCGCTGCTTGCCGTGTCGGTTGTTGGGTTTTATGTCTCTGGTTTTTTCTGTGCTGCCTGGATTTTTCTATTTGTTGTTTTCATCATTAAACTCTCATCATTTTCATCCTCACCACTATTCATACGTCATCTTATATTTTCTCAGGTTATTTTAGTCTCTTATATTTCATAATAAAGTTTTAAATGTGATAAAAATGCAAAAATTGGAGTAAATACGTTTTTTTGAAAATCTTTTTTCCAAATCTGACAAAAAAATTTTTAAAAAAAGAAGAAAATTATCCACCAAGTATTACTTCAATATTTCAATTAAATTTCTACTTTCAAATGTGTTCAGTTACAGTAAACTGATTTCCTGCCATCAACATTTTCTCAAATACACATAAATCCATGCATATAATAAATAATGTATTGATGGGGTTCAATAGTTTCTTTAAATCTTAAAATACAGAAATATCTTTTGTATTTGGACTCCAGAATGAAAAAAATGTCAGAGTTAATTATAATAAACATCTGGTTTTAACAGGAAAGGAAGAAAAGTTTATGTTAGCACCTGTAAGCTCCGCCCACTCTGGATTTCCATTTTCTGTCAAACATGATGCAGATAATCCAGAAAAAGTTTTATTCACATTAAAGATTAATTTCTGCATCCAGAGAGATTAAAGTGAAACCTTTAAATCCTGTTCAGTAAAAACCAAAATGAATCCTGATGTTTTTCTAAATAAATCGACTTTTTGTCTCATTAAATCAGAAACTTCCTGTCTGTCCTGACATCCAGCAGTAAAGTTTTAGTTCTCTTTATTATATTGTTGTAAATATTCAATACAATAAAGTAAACGGTCCTTAGAAAACGATGAAACTTGATTATTCAAACTGAATCAGATCAGAAAACCTCAGAGTTCATGACAAATAAAAGTCTCTTATTTCCACAGTTAATATAAAGTTGCTTCTGTTTCATCTCCAGGCTTCATTTGCTTGTGTGAACAACAACAATGCGGTTCTTACGTTGCGTCTCTGTGTGCGTGGCGGCGCAGCAGGACGTGGACTGCAGGTCCATGTAGCAGTCGTCCTGCCACATGATGCGTTTGCTGCGGTCCATGAGCGAGTCGTAGTGCTGCTTCCTGTCCATCACAGCAGGACGGCGCTGCTGCCGTCCATCCACACCAGATGCAATAAATAATATATGAATATATGTCCTAGAGCATATATCTATATGTGAAAAAACGTAACAATAAAAGACAGAAAAGAAAGAAAAACATAAAATAACAAAAATCCAACTTGATTCTTAGAAAATCTGATTATATGTTGCAAAAATGTTTCAACTTAAGTTTGTACAAAATAATTTTAAAAAGCATCAAGATGATAAACAGGAACAGAACAAAACAGATGATGTGATTTTTTAAATTCTTGATTAATGCTGGGGTCTAAAAGTGATCAAACGAACGTTTCCAAACCGAACAATTAATGTCGGTCCAGCAACATGTTGACGTTTCCTGGTGAGCAGAGCTTAGTTTGGATTTTATTTTTATGTTATTCTGTTTTCTTTTTGCTCCAAGCCTTCATGATCAGATCATCGTTTTTCTGGGCTGAACTGCAGGAAGTTGCGACGCGCCGTTCTGAATATCTCTGATGTTTGACCTGCTTTCTCTCTGAGGTCGCGCCGATTCATGACCTGCGGTTCGAACCGCGGCCAAGCTGCCAGGCCGTTGCCACGGAAACCAGGCGGCTGTTTCAACACGTTGCCGTTGCTATGGGAGCCAACGTGACGTCAGAGATGGTCGGTGAGTAAAGGTCATGGAGTCAAAGGTCATGGAGTCAAAGGTCATGGAGTCAAAGGTCATGGAGTCAAAGGTCATGGAGTCAAAGGTCATGTTCAGCTCTGGTTTGGTGTTTCAGTTTCTGAAATGGTTCCAAACTGGTGGGATGATCTTTCCTCATCTATCCTGTTTTCTCTCCACACAATTCTTTTTAAATTATTTTGAGGCAAAACCTGAAACTGCTGCTGAATAATTTCCATTTTTATGATTCATATTTTTTCTCCTTTTTGTTTGTCTTTCTACCAAAACCTGGAAGTTAAAAGTCTGGTATTTTTTTCCTCAACCAGCTCTTATTTTGAAAGATAATTGTGTTTCCAGAGGTTTTATAATTTGTTTTATTTGTTGTTTTTCCTTATTTTGGATATTTAAGATGTTTTCCAGTTCCAGTATTAAATGTTCATTGAACGTTTATTGATCTTTTAGATTGTATTCCTGCATTTTTTATCATATTATCATTATATTATTTGAAAATTTTTGCTCCGTTGATTCGAACGGAATTTATTGCAACAAACTTCGTAACATTTACTTTTGTAATGTTTTGGGGAAAAATGCACCATTACTGTTTACTTTATTCAAAAATTCACACCTGCAGTTTTTGTTAAAGTTTTATATCAGAAGAAATTAAATTAGATTTCTTTATTTTTTGCTTGATTTCATTTTTCAATTCTGTTAATAATTATCCTGCTCAAAATAAAATTTCCACATAAACTTATATTTTGCTGTGTCTGATGATGTTGTTTAATATTAAATTATTGATTATTTGATCAGTTACTCAGTTCAACATCGTTACCAAATAATGTTTTTGTTTTTTCTGCTTGAATTATCATTTTTTATTGATGGTATTTAATATGCTACACACTCAATTATCTGTTTTCATTCTCTGTGAACCAGAATAATCAAAATTACAGAAACTAATAACTCAAAGGTCACCGGTTCAATTCCCTGCATTTGTCCTGCAAAGCTGCTAATAAACACAAAAAAAGCCCAGAATATATTTCACTTTTCACAATATTCACATTGTTTTGTGCAAAATGCATTGTTTCACTGAACTAAAGCAGTTTATTAATGAAGCAGAGCATTACGTGTGTTTATAGTGTCTGAGGTTTTACTGAGGAAACCAAAGAGTCCAAGTTTAAGACGAGAAGGAAACGGCTTCAGCTTCTCTAAACGGCTCAAATTGAAACAGAAATCGAGAAAAAATGCGAGCAAGACGAGAAAAGAAGAACAAAAACGGTAGGAAGTGAAAAAAGCACTGCAAAGTAAACTAGTGCATATAACCTGCTGAAACACTGCTTTAAGTTATTTTGTCTTATTTAAAGTGTCCTGAGATATCTGGACCAGAAACTGGACCAGAAGTAGTTGGTGCGTCGTTTATTTAGCTCTAAGGGAAATCTACCAGAGTTTTGTTTAGTATTTTAACATCCATAAATAATTTTGAGGGCGGATCACTGCAAAAACGCAAAATCTTACCAAATATTGTTGGTCTAGTTTCAATACTTGAAATGAGACAAAACTAATGCAGCTTTTCAATAAGACACAGTTTGTTTAGAGTCAATAAAGCCTCCATATTGAATGGAACCATTCAGTCATAAAGTCGTCATAAACGTCATATATAACAATGTTTATAACGATGTTTATAACGATGTTTATTACGATTTTTATTACGATGTTTATTACGATGTTTTGTTCATAACTCTAAACAAGCTGCTGTAAAGTCACTTCAGATTCAGTTTTGTCTTATTTCAAGTGTTTTCCAGTAGAAATTAGACCAAAAATACTTAGTAAGATTTTGTGTTTTTGCAGATTTGTCCATTTATTTAACTTGTTAAACATCTACTTTAAACTTTAGCTTTAATAACATGAAGCCACATAACTTTTATAGTTTAATCAGTGATACTTTTGTAACAAATGTTTGTCAGATCATGATGTCTTGGTTAATGTCAAATTGTCATAACAAAGACACTTTGAATAATGACAACTTTAAAAATGAAAAGTGTCATGATTTACAGAGTGACACTTTCTGACAACAGTCATAAATATTCATGAAGCTGTACTCATATTTATGATGATGTCATGTTTTTCATGATGTCATATTTATAACGATGTTATGATAACCCATCAAATAAAATGTTACCAAAAATATTAGCACACCTGAAGTACAACAAAACCAACTTAAAAACAACTTTCCAGCAAGATATGGTAGCTTGGTTTAAGTCAATAATTCATTAATATTGATAAAATAGTATTGATTCCATTGGCAGATTGTTTTCCTTATAGCAATACATTTTCCCACCTTATATTTTTTCATTAGTAGTAATGACCTATTGATAGGTGACATTTATCACCTATGTCTTGGTGGAAAGTTGCTTTGTCTCATTACCAGTGTAATAAGATGCTTCCAACAGAAACTTGACCAAAAATACTTTTGGGTTTTTGCCTTTTAAGGCCATTGCATCATCCACATCATCGTTCAAACAAACGGTACAGAAATGTTCAGGAGAATTAACTTTAAAAACTGAGCGACTCACCATGAGTTGAATCAAGTTTCCTGGAAATGTGAGGAGAATCTTGATCCTGCAGGCAGAAACTCCATGAAACACAAACAGCAGAAAGTCTGAAAACGTCTGAATTGAGCAGCAGCTCAGGGTGAAGTCAGCAGCTCTGCAGCATCTTCCTGTCTCTCTGGTTTCCTGTGCTGCGGTGAGAGCAGGTTCAACCGTGAAACTAGAGAGAGAAAACACGCTTTGTGTCTGCGCAGGCCTCACGACCCGATCCCAGAGCTTAACCACGCGTGAGCTGCATGTTGCAGGCTGCAGGCGGCGCCAAACCGCAGCTCAGGCCGCCATGATGGATGGTTGAGGTTCAGAAAGGAGGCAGAACGTTCTGCTGTACCAGAAACACGACACAAAGGTTCCCGCCGGAACCTCAGTGCATTGAAAAAGCTGTTAAAGAATGCAACTCTAACAAAATAAATGTTTGCAGCGTGTAAAAGTCTTTGCCCTATTTTTGATTTTTTTACATAGTTATAAAATAAACCAAGAAATTGAATGTAGTTTTTCTCAGCTGTAAACTAAACTCATCAAAATGAACAGAAATAAAAACATTTAAATGTATCATTTACTAATTTCAGTTTCTGAACTGAATTCCTGTAATTCAGAAGAAAAATCCAACAAACTGACAGAACAAGTGAAGGTATTTCAGTTTAATATGTGAAACACTGGAGAGGAAATGAAAACTTTATGTTTTGATAATGAAAAAACATTTTTCCAGTGTTTTTAGTGACATGGAGACATTTTCTGCTGCAGGGAGTCAATTTATTCAACATCTGAAAAACGAGAGCTTATAATGACTGTTTAGGGCTGAATGAGCAAAAACTTCTAATCTGCAGAAAATCTGGGAAAAAAATGACATTTTAAAAAGAAAATATTTATAATTTACAACATTCACTGTTTCATAAAAATGCAGAATAAAGTTTACCAGAAAATATTCTATTATACACAAAATACTGACTGCAGAAAAGGCCTGATTTGTGATAATTTCCCAGGTTCAACAGAGGAACAGAAACATGGAGACATTCGGATCAGATTTCAGTAGAAATAAAATAAATGCACAGATTTCGGTTTTCCAGGCAAACATTGAACATTTCTAGGATCTTATTAGACGAGGACAGAGCTATAGTCCACATGTAAGTAAAAGATCGGCTAATTGGACGATAAGTTTCTGAGTAGAAATGCACCGATTGCAGCTGCTGGGCCGATTTTTGATTTCTGTAGATTTTTGTAGAATTACATAATCGAGATTTCCCTTCAAAAGCTACAAAATGCTTTTTCTGACTGAATTCAACATTTAAGTTCATGTATAAAGAAGTGAGTATTGTTATCACTTGTTATAAAGACGCTTCATATATCAAATTTAACTGTGTAATTCAGCACAAGCTGAGGGGGGAGGAGCTGCGTCTGGGGGCAACATGATGGAAACATTTAAAAAGTTGATTTTATTTGATTCTATAACTTTAATTTGTTGCTTTAAAAATTTTTTACTGGATCAACAAAGAACAAGTTTCATGCAGGAAAACTATTGTCTTCTTCTGAGACTCAACAATAAGGACAATGAGGGTTATTAATCAATAAAGTTACTTTTAAATCAAATTTGAAATGTTATAATTTCACCAACTCACATTTAAGACTTTTTAAGACCATTGGGAATGAAATTTAAGACTTGTACAAAAGATGACGAATTGGTGATAAATTTGCACTTACCCATTATGGACTTGAAAAAGCTCGCTAGCTGGCTAGCTAGCCATAAAAGCTATATTAGCAGCTAGTTAGCTTTAGCCGCAGACTGCAATGAAGATTTCTGCATGTGACTCAAACTTTAAAAAAAACTACATATGAGATAAATAGTCAGGTTTTAGAGAGCAGTGGTTCCAGTTGGGAAGTCTGCCCCCTGCTGGGCGGAGTGTTTATAGCTCCAGGTTTTCTGTTTATTGTAAACAGAAATACAAACAACTTGTTCACCCAACTTTTGTATTTAAAAAAATAAAAAGATCAATAATTCATAAAGATTTTTCTCCAATCAAAGTTCAAATTATGAACGTTCATAATTTTTTTTCAAGGTGGAAAATCGTCAGATTCCGATAATCAGCAGAGCAATCGATGCATCCCAATAAAACACATCAGGGATTCGGTTCTCAAGACAAAAACAACGTAATTTCCAAACATTCCTCATTTAGGATCATTTTTCTTCAAATTCTCAATTAGGAAAGTGTAAACAATTTGCTTTAAGCAGAACATAGAGAGTGGTTACAGGCACATTCAGCCATTCACATTTAAGGGACAAACGATCAAAATAAACCCGACCGTTTTTAAGAACCAGGATTATTTAGGAGCTTCAAGCAAAAATGATCCAAAGTAAAGTTGTTTTGATTTAAAAAGTGGAACAAACAAGTCAACAAATGAGTATTTAGGACTTCAGTAATAAGAAAACGCGTTCCCTCTTCCTCCTGAATTTCCCTTACAATCGATAACCAGCAGTTTCACAGAGTCGCACATCCGTCTTTAGAAAACTACGTTATTATCTGGAGCCGAAAACGCTGCGCGGCGCGGCGCGGCTCCCTGCTGAACAATTACAGTCATTTCCATCGGGGATCCGCCTGCAGCGTCTCGCTCACAAATACCTGAAAACATCCCATGACTTTCCCTGATCGCCTTCCAGCAACACGGCGGTTATAGATCTGACAGGCCCTCCGCGTGTTCGCTCAGCTCCATGGTGTAATAGTCCAACGGACGCCTGCAAACACATCAGCATGAACATGAAAAACACAACAAAACTGCATGAAAACATCTGAAACAGCATAAAAATGAAAGTGGAGGCATGAATCAGACTCTCACCTCCTCCTGTAGAGGTAAGTGAACAGAGCCGCTCCGAGTCCGAGCAGCAGCAGGACGGCGACGATCAGGCCGATCTGCAAACCCAGAGCCGACGCTGCAACGCAAACAAACCTCAGAGAAACATCCAGCAGATTCATCTGAAAAACTTCACTGGCTCTAAATATGTGAGGAAAAGAATCAGAAACTTAAAGAACTTGTTGTTCATATATCGCTGTATCTAAGAATATTAATGGAAAGTTAAGTGGAAGGAAGAAGCGAGGTGCAGCAGTACAAGGACCTGCTTACTGTTTTCAGAATCTATTTGTTCACAACTATGAAAATAACAGGGAAACAGTGTGAAGACTTTTGCAACAAATGATTTTTCCTTTTCAAAGGAAATTAAAAACTTTTGGATATTTCAGGAATTGTTGCTCATGGAAAATTTGGACAATTTTATTATAAAATGTGATGATATTGAAAAGTTTTCACACACAAATCCTGATGCTAAACTATATTTCACTGCCTAATAACATGTTGACTGTGTTTCTGTGGAATCGGAGCTGAAGAACGAATTTCACATTTCTTTTGTTAAATCGTGGTTAATTCAGCCGATTGGCGCCGCTTTGTGGATAAGCGAAGCGTTTTGAGTTTGCTGTTCCTGACCTGCTCCGCTGTAGCGGCCGGTGCTGGGAGGAGAGCAGGCCTCGCTCCGCGCAGCAGAGGAATCCGCGCTGGACGTCTGGATGATGAGCGCCCTCTGGTGGTCGGACAGCGCCTGGATGTTGCCCTGCACACGCAGCCATCCGGACACGCAGGAAACGTTGGTGCCTGCGGCAAAACCCGGACAGAAACAGTTCAAACACGAAACGGGAACAAACCTGAGCTTAGCTGCAACTTTCTGCCAAACGAGGCTAAAAGTTAAAAACTGAACGGATCCGTTTTGCCTCAATCTGAAGCTCTTTGACTGTTCAGGATCTGAGAGCCGGTTTGGACTTTTTTAGTAACTTTAACTTAATAACAAATGAGGCTGCAACTGAAGATTATTTTAAAACTAGATTAATCAATCATTCTGATGATTAATTGATTCATTCTGGTGATTAATTGATTATTCTGCAAATTTCTCTTTGAATCATCTAATCCTCCTCTGTGAAGTTTTAGAAATACATTAAAAATATGCAAATAAATAATTTTGAAAAATCAGAAAATGTTTTATTGCCTAAAAGGCAAAGCGATATTTTTTTTCTGTGCCGATTCTGGAGCTTAAAGGACCTGAATCACAGATTAAAAACAATACATGTGAAAAAGGGGTTTTGAATGTTTATTTTATAGATAAATGTTTTTTGATTGATTTCAATTAATTAATTAATTACAGACCCTGCAATTAACTCGATTAAAAATCAGTAACTCCCATTAAACTGCAGACCTGCAAAAAATTCAGCTGTGAAAGTTTCCAGTGACCTTCTGGAGAACCGAATCTTTACTCTGGTCTCATTTAGACTTTCTTTTCACAACACTGTGACTTTAAAGGAAGGAAAAGTGGCGGCGCCTGACCTTGCAGATGGAGAGCTGAGATGCCGCAGTCGCACCTCTGCTCCAGGTAATGCGCCACTTCCGCCATCTTTGCTCCCTGCATCAAACCGCTGCAGTCTGGGACAAACAGAGGAAACGTCTGTCAAGGTTCATTTACGGTTCAATCGTTTCAGGAGAAGAAGAAGAAGATAAAGGAGATGTAGAAGTTTGGGTTTTTTAATTAAAAAACATTATTTATAAAAGTTTTTCCTGGTTGAATTTATTGTAATAATATTATTTATTCTTGAAAATACTAAAATTTGCACATAATATAATATTTGTGTCCATCTGAATCTTTAAATATGGCAGCAGGTGTCATGATGAAGCAGCGACTCGCTGCCTTTCACTTTAATCATAATATTTCTCTCTTCCTCTCTCGCTCTGGGGGAAGCCGGACTCGTTTCCCTCCCTGCTTGCTCTGCTTTTGTCTTTTTGGAGCTTTGGTTTGCACATCCTCCGAATTTACAAATTATGGCTCTGGTCAACCGGTCTCTGGACCCAGCTGATCCTGGACCCAGCCTGGACCCAGCTGATCCTGGACCCGGCCTGGATCCAGCCTGGACCCAGCTGATCCTGGACCCGGCCTCTCCTGCAGGGACACACCTGGATCTTATTGATGAATTTGTGACTCTCAGATGTTGGTCTGGACAGAGTTGGATGCGCCTTGGGGGCGGGGCTAGGCCCATCCAGGTGTTTACACACCTGGATGGTTGCCATTGAGATTAAATGCTTTCTCAAACGTGCATGGAAGAATCAAAGCAACATTGCAGGTTTTGATGATGAGAGAAAGACATTGAATCGTGACAGAAAGATAAAGTTTTCTACCTCTGAATCTGCAAATCTACATGTAGAGAAGATTTATTTAATCAGCTGATGCTCCTCATTTCTCCTCACTTAGTCTCTCAGTGTTTCAGTGAAAGTCAGGCTGTAACCGGCGGCTACCTCCCGGCTGCTCCTGCCGGCTGCTGGCCGGCGGTCCGAGGCAGAGGTCGATCGGACTGGAGTAGGCGGAGCTTGGACAGACGTTGCTGCTGTGCGGCGTCGGAGACGAGCTGGTCCACGACGACGGGCTGCGGACCTCACAGCAGGAGCAGCGGCTGAGCGAGACGGGACCGCCGCCCACGGACCTGCACCAGCATCACACACACACACACAGAAACACACAGGAACACACACACAGGAACACACACAGGAACACACACACACACAGAAACACACAGGAACACACACACACAGAAACACACAGGAACACACACAGGAACACACACACACACACAGAAACACACAGGAACACACAGGAACACACACAGGAACACACAGAAACACACAGGAACACACACACAGGAACACACACAGGAACACACACACACAGAAACACACAGGAACACACACACAGGAACACACACACAGGAACACACAGAAACACACAGGAACACACACACACAGGAACACACAGGAACACACACACAGGAACACACACAGGAACACACACACACAGAAACACAGGAACACACACACACAGGAACACACACACACAGGAACACACAGGAACACACACACAGGAACACACACAGAAACACACACACACAGAAACACACAGGAACACACACAGAAACACACAGGAACACACACACAGGAACACACACAGGAACACACACACAGAAACACACAGGAACACACACACAGGAACACACACACAGGAACACACACAGGAACACACACACACAGAAACACACAGGAACACACACACACACAGGAACACACACACAGGAACACACACAGGAACACACACACAGGAACACACACAGAAACACACAGGAACACACACACACAGAAACACACAGGAACACACACACACAAACACACAGGAACACACACAGAAACACACAGGAACACACACACACAGAAACACACAGGAACACACACACAGGAACACACACAGGAACACACAGGAACACACACAGAAACACACAGGAACACACAGGAACACACACACACAGGAACACACACACACAGAAACACACAGGAACACACACACAGGAACACACACAGGAACACACACACACAGAAACACACAGGAACACACACACACACACACACAGGAACACACACACAGGAACACACACAGGAACACACACAGGAACACACACACACAGAAACACACAGGAACACACACACACACACACACAGGAACACACAGAAACACACACACAGGAACACACACACACAGGAACACACACACAGGAACACACAGACACACAGAAACACACAGGAACACACACACACACACACACACAGGAACACACACACACAGAAACACACAGGAACACACACACAGGAACACACACAGGAACACACACACAGGAACACACACACACAGAAACACACAGGAACACACACACACACACACACAGGAACACACAGAAACACACACACAGGAACACACACACACAGGAACACACACACACACAGAAACACACACACACACACACACACACACAGGAACACACACACAGGAACACACACAGAAACACACACACACAGGAACACACACAGAAACACACACACACAGGAACACACACACAGGAACACACACAGAAACACACACACACAGGAACACACACACACAGGAACACACACAGGAACACACACACAGGAACACACACAGGAACACACACAGGAACACACACACACACAGGAACACACACACAGGAACACACACACAGGAACACACACAGGAACACACAGAAACACACACACACACACACAGAAACACACACACACAGGAACACGCACACAGGAACACACACACACAGGAACACACACAGGAACACACACACAGGAACACACACAGGAACACACACACACACAGGACCAAAAGGTTTTAATTTATTCTTTCTGGCAGCTGCATCTTAATACGATTTAATTTACAATTTAATAATTCGTATTAGAGCTGAAACGATTAATCGGACTGATCTTGATTAATTGATTACTGAAATCATTGTCAACTAACTTAGCAATTGATTAATCATTAACCGGATTTGACAGGTTTTAAAAAAGGTAATTTGCTACATATTCAGAGCAAAAACTGTATAAAAATATAAACATTGTCCATTGGGGATATTAAAGGAAAAGCATTTTGTCTAAATATTTTCAAATTCTGTAAAAACCATCTGAAAGGCGCTTAACTCTTCCTCTCGGGTTAACTGAAACCATTTCCCACCTGACAGAAGGCATGACTTGTCGCCCCCTGCTGGTGGACAGAGAGGACAGCAGCCGCTGGTTGTCGCTGAACACCAGCACGTCTCTGAGGCTGGAGTTGGTCAGCGCCGTTCCGGCCCTGCAGACGCTGAACAGGTCGTAGCAGAGAACCGCGGCTCCTCGCGCCGGCACCGAGGTTCCCTCAGGAAACGCCTGATCTGCGCCACAAAGACAGGAAGTTCATGAACCGGCTGGTTCAGAGACACAAGTTATCCAAACTGAGCTGGTCTGTCAACTACTGAGTGACTAATAAGCAGCTATTTTCTGACAGGTTTTCTCTGGTAAGAAAGGCGACATTTTCAAAATATGCAAAATTATAAACAATCAATTAAATTGTAAATCATTTTGTGTCAGCTGCATTAAATACTGACAGAAAAATGTGTATTTTAGAAATCCACCAATAATGGAAGCTCTCAGGTTGAAGATGTGGAAATCCAAGTAAAATTTTCTCAAAACAGTAAAAAGTTTCAGATTAATTTCTAAAAAGCAAACAGCTTGAAAAGTCCTAAAAGTGGGAGAGAAAACATGAATATTTAGATTAATATCAGAAACTTTAAACCTTAGAGCTTTCTGTGTTTGAGAACAATTTCCATTTTTTTCAAGAAAATTTCTAAGATTCATCTCAAAACTTTGGGAGGAAATGTTTTAAATGTTCATTAGTATTGTCCCCAACAGGCCACCGTACTGAATATTTATAAAGAATAAAATGACCAAACAAACTGAAGTTTCTCTTGAGAAAATATTCAATCTTCACTCCATGGAGCCCAGAAACAGCCGACAGTCTTTAAATCAAACTGAAGTGCTTTTTCCATTATCTTACTTTATTTTCTGTTTTCCTCAAGTCATTTATTTATCGTTGCTCCTTTTTGTGGCTCGGCTGAATAAAATGATCTGAAGTTCATAACTTAAGGAACTTGTTGAGTGTTTATATCTGAAAACAGAACCGCATAAAGTAAATTTTTCATCCCACTTCGGACTTTGTTTGGACCATTTGTCTTTCCTGTTTTGGTCTGGCTCCACTTAAGGATGACGAGCGGCGCCCTCTGCTGGATGGCGGCCAAACTGCCACAATAAAAGAACCACGAAGCCGATGGGGTCCAAACTTTTAGTCATTAGGGCCAAAATTATTAAGTTGAGAGAACTCCAGATGTTTTTAAAAATTAAAACTGTAAAGATTTATTCCTCAAGACCTTTGTTATGTCATATCTATTCAATAGTAATTAGACAGTATTTCAATAAAATAGTCCAATTGTTGGAGAAACAAAATCTGTAAATCATTTTTGAACCGAAATAACAAAATGTATTTAATGAAAACAGAAACACTGTTAATAAAAGGAAAATACTTTGTTCTGTACTTAAATAAATGTTAAAAAAGATTTTATTTGTTTGTGAAAATTTCAATTTAATCGTAAATTCGCTCCATTTTCGAATTGTGGTCCAACAAAATCATCCAGACAAGTGGAGTTTGAGCCACTTTGGGCCTTTTTGCTCAATCAATCAGTTGATTGACTGCAACTGATTTTAGTCTAATAAACCATTTATTGGCAACGACTGATAAACCTGCGTCATCTTCGTGTCCAACGACGTAGAAGCCGTTCTGGTCGATGACGCCTCTGAGCGGGAGAGCGACGGCGGAGCCGCCGGCGTCCTGGTCGAACACGGACAGCACCAGGCCCCTCAGGTCCGTCATGGGGGGCCCCTGCAGCTCCACGAAGCCCGCCTGCTGGCTGTGGTTGCTCCAGCGCGCACTCGACACCTCGCTGATGACGACGCCCTCCGGCGCCGGAGGAGGACGGGGGCAGATGTTCTCCCGCAGAGGAGTGGGCTGAGCCACCTGCTCGGATCAAACCAGGTGAAGTTGGAGGGGAGAAACAAAGATGGACGTTTTGCAGAGAAGATCTGATGATCTGTCAAACTCTGAGAAACGTATATTTGACCCTGATAGGTTTATTCTGCTTCTAATTTTTGGCACAATTAAATTTTTCTCTTATTCTGACTTTTTTTTGTGAAGTTCAAGACTTTATTCTGGTATTATTTTGGCTTTATTCTCATAACATTGTTGTTCAGCTTTGCTCTTGTTGTAACCTTATATTCCTTTTTCTTGAAATATTGTGATTATTGCATTATTAACATTTTTTGTTATATTATCATACAGTTTTTTTCACACTATAAAGCTTTATTTTCTAAGTAATATTATAAGAATTTTTCTAGTAATTTTTAAATTTATTCTCATAATGCTATGAGATTAAAGCCGTCATTAATGGGAGCAGTGATAAGTGAGAGAGTAGAAAAAAGTCGTAATAATAAATGTTTTGTATTCTCTTAATATTACAACCTTATTTGTATTTTTTCTGGTTTCTATGGACTGAAGAATGATGTTGGCTAATTGATGCTGGCTAGTCTGCAGGGGCTGCGTGGGGGCGGAGCCTAGAGGGCGGGGCTAGGTCCACCCAGGCGATTTGAACAGCTGGATGGAAATTAAATCATTTCTCCAACATGAATGAAAGAATCAAGACGAGACTCCAGGTTTGTTTTTGATGAGGGAGAAACTTTCAAACATGATGTAAAGATGAAACATATTTCCGTCTGTTTGAGTATTTACTGTTCTCACCGAGAAAGCCGACAGGTCCAGCGGGTAGAGGCCTCCGCAGCGGCTGAGCGCCTCGTCGCCTTGCATGACATCGGGGTCCTCCAGCAGCGGCAGCTGGCCCGGGGTCAGCGCCTTGCTCAGCTCCTGCGCCTCCATGTCCGACCCCCGCTGCCGGTACACCACGGCGTCCAGCAGGCCCCGGGTCGGGATCCCCCTCTGGACCGCCGACGGCGGGCCGGACGGGCTGCGGTACAGCGCCACGGCGTCCGGCCCGTTCTGGATGGTGTTGGGAGGAAGGCGGAGCGCCGGCGCCGGCGCCAGCCCGTCGCTGCCCAGCAGGAAGTAACCCTTGGAGGTGGTGAAGTGGCCGCTCAGGCTGATCTCCCGGTACGGCTTGTTGTTGTGCGCACTGAAGAGCAGAATCCAGACCCCCTGCAGGGAGGCCCGCAGGCCCGACGGGTGCCACAGCTCGATGTACTCCCCGTCCTCGGCCGCGCCCGGCGTGTCCGTGTTCAGCTCGTTGATCAGGAAGTCGCCGCTGCTGCCCGGCGGCAGGTGAGGCGGCGAATCCATACCGCCAGAGATCACTGGTCAACAACAGGAACATGTGGAAGTTGGCTCAGGTGTTTGTGTGTCAAACATTTTCATTTCTGCTGCTGTGATTTTTGAAGAGCAAGTCAGATAGAAACATCATAAACTGGAGAAACAAGGAACAACTGGAGACAAGAAATGAGCATCACAGGAATCACCAGGAAGGACTGAACTAAAACACAACAGAAACAAAAATGATCCAGAAAAATCAAACAACTCAGGTCACAACATGTCACATGTGATTTAACTTCCAAGATATTAATAAATGTTTCTGGAGGTCATAGGTCAAACACATTTATTGACTAAAAAAGCGTGTTAAACGCCTCTGCAACTTAGAAATTTTGAGATAAATGTCAGAAGTTTTCTAAAAGAAAAATGAACATTTCTGATTTTCAAAAGTCAAAAGTTTTAAAATTTTCAAACTTAATCTAAAAATGTCTGTGGTTTGTGTGATCACTTTCTTCCTATTAATCATAGATTTTTCTTGCAAATTTTTGATTTCTCAGAAATGTTCTTGTTTTTTGTTGGTTTTTCTCTAAACAGGATCATCTTAACTCCTTTTATTGATTGTACAGCCCAGTACTTTCTGCTTTATTGACTGATATCTCATTAACAGAACGACAGGAAAAGATGGAGCAACTTCAAGCCAGTTAAAACATGTTGTTAAGCTAACAGCAAACTAATTAAATACCTTAGAGAGGTTGTGAGTCATTATCGCCTTTTATTCTGGTGTTATGTAAAGACCAGCAATAGGCGGTTATATAAGCCCACCAGTTTGCCCTGTTTGCCCTGAGGGACATAAACACACCCGGCAGATGGCTGGAGGCCTGAATCTACCGGATCACGGCCTGTTCGCTCTGTTTCCACCCAGAGAATCGCTCCCACAGCCGGAGGAGAGGCATGGTGGGGCTCAGGAGGCGCGTTGCCCCCCGGGGGCATCTGGGCGAACAATGAGAACACGGCTCAGGGCGGCTCTGCAGAACCACCGGATCAGCAGACAAACTCAACAGATACCTGTCTGTTTCTCTGTCCAGCAATACACAATGACCTCCGCCATCTTGGTAGGCAAATGCACAGCAGACCTCCGGAAAACATGTGGACACTCTTAACAAATGCGCAACAGAAAAACACATGAACAAAATGGCTGCTGTCAGGACCAACCCATATGAGACGGAGAAGGAAAATGATTCAGACGATGTGAACAAGCTGCCTCCGCTCTCATGCTAGGTAACGTTAGCTACCCAGTGAACAGGAAGTGTGCGAACAACATGGAGGAGCTTCAGCTGAAACTCATCCAGTCAATGTTTCAACAGATTTGAGAAAAACTCTGTGCAAATAAGTTTCTGGTGATTGGCACATTGAGAACAAACACAGACATGTCCGTCTTGGCTAGCAGATAAAAGCTACGTTAGCCAAGCTAACTGTGCTACTTCAGCAGAAAGTAAACATAATCCCAGGATCACAGCGGAGGGTCCAGTACTCACACACTGGAATAGAGTGATAGTTGTAATGTATGTTATTGTTCTTAATCTAAATAGGAGCAAGGTGAGAGCTGGTACTACTGTTGTCATAGCAACTCCATAGCAACTGCCTGCCAAGATGGCTGCCAGCTACAACTTTCCAGAAGAGTGAGGTCACAGGGGTCAAAAATCCAAAATCTCTTTATGAGAAGTTTAAAAATGTTTTTTTTTAAATTCAGGATATGAACTCTCCTAAAAAATAAAAACTAGAAAACATTTTCCTGATAGTTTCAGAGCAAACGAACATTTCAGAGTCGTCTTTTAAAAACTGTCACATCATTTACAGAACTGTGATTCTTGAAGCAGCAGGTCGGGCAGAACGGCGAAGACGGGTGAAAAAAAATCAACATTCCCACAAAATAAACCAAAATTTTCCTCCATTTCCTAAAAACTTGTTTCTGTTCTGCATTTTTCTCTCCGTTGCTCTCAGCGGTTCTTTCGCCTCAGAGTTTCAGTTCTTCCAGTGAATCTGTTCGAATCAGAACCGTTTAGTGAAAATATAAACTGGATGTTCAGTTTTTACTGCTGGTTTCACATGAAGGGCAATAAAACAACGTCACCCCAACTATAAGGTGATCGTTTGGTTTCACTTCCTGTTTATGATGTTGGTGAATTTAAAAATAACCGGATTTATGTCACATCAGCATTTTGACTGAAACCTAATAAAGCAAGTTGTTTCTGTTACAACCCAGATTAACGTAGTTTTATTTAATATGACTTTATTATGACAGCTTTGTTCTAATAATACTATTACTCTTTTAATTTTATTCTTGTAATTTTAACACTTTTATCATTATATAGATCATTACAAATTTATTCTCGTATTATTTTGATTCCACTTTATTCTCACATTTTATCAGCCTGGTTCTGATTTAGAAAAGATTTTTATTTTTATTTCTGATAACTTGAAGAACATGAATGCTAGTGTCCGTGTTCAATGACTCAAAAGCAAAAACAGAAGGAGTCTAAATAAAACCACAGTGAGACGCATTCAGACACTTACAGATGGTGTGGGGGCAGATTTTGGGCCAGGGGCATTTGTTGGGCAGCCCGGGGGTCTGAGGCGCCTCCCAGAAGGTGCCGGGATCTCTGGGCCAGGTCGCCACACCGCAGCGACTCAGGTAGAAGCCGCCTTCTCGCAAACTGGAATGAGAAATGAAACGAGTCTGGATTTGTTTCTGTCCAGGCAGGAAAATACGAGCCAGAAAAGCCAAGACAGAGTTTGAACTGCATAATCGATAATACAAAATGAAGTAGTGAACTAAAAAAGCTTAGCTCCGCCACCAATTTAAAAAATGACCAAAAATGGGTGGAGCCAAGACGTCCTGAGGGGCGTGGCCAAGAACTGTTACCAACTTAGTGACTTCGACTTTTCAGATCCCGATTGTTTGTTTTTTAAAAAACAAAAAGAAAAACTAAATTACAACGTTTTTCTTTTTTCTGGAGATTTGCTTTAAGCAAAATATTGCAGAATTCAACAAGTTTTCATAAAAATGTCACAAAATGCTACAAAACATACAGAAATAATTAAGGACCAATTAGGACAGTTTATCTGCAAAAGACAGATGAATCTTTAAACATTAAAGATTCATGAAAAGTTCATATGAGGCTAATATTTAGGTTTCTAAAGTTAGACTCCAACAAAACGTTTTGTTTGCACTGAGCCGTTATACATTGTAGATAAAAAAAAGAGGAGAGAAAATCTCAGAAATTCTAAGATTAACTTCAGAAAATTTCTGGGAAAAACTTGGAAATTTCTGGGTTTGAAAAGTAAAAAAACTGCAAGAAAAAAAGTCAAATTTTTTCTACTTTCAAAACATTTTAAAGAAAATTTCTTAGACTATATAAAAAGAAAATTCTTGCAATTTTTCAAACTTCCTGAGTCTCAAAAGTAAAATATATATGTATTTTTCAAACTCAGTAAGGTCTGTTGACATAGAATTTTAAGTTAGCACAATACTGCACAGGATAGCTTTGACACATATAAAATATAACATAGAAAGTTAAAGTACACTCTAGGTTCATATAAATTTAGATGAAACTAAAAACAACGGCTCAATCTCTGAAACGCAGATAAATTCTTAAAAGGAGGATCAGACAGAAAAAACAGAAAACATAGGCCTAGACTCCTTGGATCTCTTGAGATAAGGAGCCTGTCTGCCAGGCAATTAACAAATTCCTGAGCATGGTTCAAAAGTTCACTAGGATCTTAAAACTTTTTATAAATAATTTTATCTATATTAGAATTAACTATATTTCTTTAAGAATGTTTTTAATTAGTTACTTATTAGATCCAAACTTATAGTCATTATTTAGCATTACATTGTGTGCAAGCTTGGTTAAAATACAAACGACTTTTTTGTGAAAAACAGCTTGGGGAAGAGATAGCGCTGCAGCTGCACTCTATATCAAACTGGACAGCGGCAGGTACGAAAAGAGCCGGGCCATATATCTGCTTTTGGGGCTCTTTAGCAGGAGGTAATAAAATTAACATTAAGACAGCCCACACAAAGGAAAAGAACACACCTCCTAATGCATATATTTAAATGAGGAGAATATGCAGTCTATAAAAAATGGTTTGTTTCACAGCAGAAGTTGGAATCTCTTTGTGCTGAGTGAGAGTTTCCCGGAGGATGCATCTTCTGTTATTCTTTTGTCTTTTTTACTCAGTTCTTTGTCTCTGTTTTGTAATATCTTGGACTTTTGCTCTAGGTGAGAGGCTTATTGTAAAGTTCTTCTTGGATTGATTTTCTCTGGATAAAACTCTGAATATCTGAAGTCTGACGTCGTATGATTGCTCTTTTCTCTCTGCACACTTACACAGACACAGGAATTCGGGACTAAGAATTAATTAACGAGCTAAGATCAAGTTCTTCATCTTTTTAATTCTTAACAATTGGGGGCTTCGTCCGGTCCTTTTTCTCTGTGTCTCTGTGTGTGTTGCAGTGGAGACTTGTTTGTTTGTGTTAGCCTGTGGAGCGCAGCTGGAACGTTGCGGAGTGATCTGCAGCGCGGCTATCCCCGCGGACTGATCTTGGTTAGTGTGTGATCTCTTTGTGTTGTTTTGTTTCTTCTTATTCTACTGAACCATTAGATAAGCTGGTTACACACCCGTAGTTGGCAGTGGCGCGCCTCAACCACACTCGACGGAGTGTGGATTTAGCTAGGTTGGCCCGACCTGAGAATTTACTACACTCAAACGGAGCCTGTGAGATAGGGTGTGAGACAGGAAAAGGCCTGAATCGACCTTGGAGTTTTGGTTCGCTCCGAAAGCAGCTGATTATTCGCAGGGCTTATGAGAATTGGCTACGGTTGTATCACCACGTTCCAGTTTTGTTCTGGATCGAAAGGACCTCCAGATTTAAAAGTTGAATCACTTAAGCTATTGCCCGAGCTTGAAAGGACTTATGCTAAATTGGGAGACGGTCTCCTTCCGCAGCAACTAGTGCTGAAAATGTAAGTGATGTGCAGTAAAGTGCAAGAGACATTGGGGCCCCAAAGAATTAAACTCTTCTGTTATCGATAACAATAGGGACTTTCCTTTTGCTTTCTTATCTTTCTTAATTTTCCTCGTTTGTCTCTGTGTGTTGATGTTATTTTGATTTTTTCCTGTGTGTTGACCACCTTGTCTGTTCGTGTGTTTTCGCTGTTTTTTCTGTTTGTGTTGTTTCGCCGGCGTGTCTTCGTGTCTTTGTGTTTTTGTCTTTGTGTTTATGTCAGTACGTTATCTGTTTGTGTGTCGGAGTGACTGAGCCGTTGTTTGTCTGTGTGTTTGTTGTGCGGTGGTCGTGTGAGTTTTGCCGTTGTCTGTGTGTTTTACGGCTCTCTGTATGTTATTGTGTGTATGGGAGACGGCGTTTGCAGCTGCTGAGTGAGTGTTGTGTTATTTTGCCGTGGTTTGTGCTTATATACTATTTGAGAACTAATTATAAGAATGATACTCTCTAATATTAATAATACTGATGATATAATTTTTATCAGGCTATGTGCTTATATGGCGGTTGATTTTAATAATAACGTGTTAGCTTGTTAGTCTGCTTCTGTCTCGTGGCTTACGGTACAGGCGCATGTACGGAGCTACATTAGCATTTAATTCAGCAGTTGGCTTGTTACGTTTGATGTGACTCCGGCTCGCTTTACAGTTCTCATGGCAGATGTAGTTCGTCAATAAAGTGATGTTGTCATTTTGATTGTCTGTTACACGTAGACAGGTCGTTGGTTTTTACACACTGTGTCTGCAGAACAACTGCAGGCTGATTTTTTCCCTGGACAGCTGCGTCTGTGAGTTTACAGGAGGCGACACAGGACAGAAAGTTGTGGACCCGTTTTGGTGAGTTGGCCAGACATTGAACACTTCTTTATACAATGATTGTTATCTGTGACTTTTTATGGGGAACCGGTGAGTTTTAGTAATAATGCTAAATTAAAAGCGGTGTCTGAGGTTTTGTCGCACCTCAGTCTACTCCATTCTCTGCAGTGCTGGCCTCTATTTTGGTTGTTGATTAGAGTTTAGAACCACTTTGCAGGGTCATTTTTGTTTTGTTTTTTTTTTGTTTTTTGTTTTTTCTCTCTCCTGCATAAATGTTTGCTAAGTAAATGTGTTGTTGGTAGCTTTTCTATGGTGATTAGAATTAAGCCTGTTGATTTGTATAGATCGGATTACAAGTGTTTTGCCTAGTTCCACCTCTTAACAGAAAAAAAAACAGGGAGGTGTGATTGTCTGTGGATAGGATTGGATTACATTACACCAGTATTAAAATCCCTTCACTGGCTCCCTGTGGCTCAAAGAATATATTTTACAATACTGTTGTTAGTTTACAAATCACTGACCGGTTTAGCACCACAATACATCTGAAGATCTGCTGTTGTTGTATCAACTTTCCAGACTCTTAGGTCTTATGGCTCTGATTCTGGTTCTGATTTTGCAGAGCCAGAACCAAGAGAGGGAAGCAGCTTTCAGCATCTGTGCACAAACAATTTGAAGTTAAATTAGTGGGTGGCCTAGTTTCACACGTCATAGTCTGGTGCGGTGTCATATTGCAAATCTAATGAATGAGAAATATATAAAAGTAATTGTATAATGACTAAAATATTAGACTCTTGTGAGCAGAAGGCTGTCCCGTTTCTTAGACGTGTCTCCTTTGTCACACTGATTATCAGTCGCACCTCTAGAGAACAGATGTGAAACTTTGTTTTTGGTGTTGTTCCGTTCAAATAAGAAAGTTTGTCTTTTTGGACTTTAATACTGGTGCTGTGTTGTGGATTAATGTCTTTTATTTACTTATGAGGGATTTAAATTTGATTTGGGGGAATTTCAGATTTTTAGGTTCACCTCCAACTAAATATTTATGATTTTGTATTAAGCGCTAAACCTTCCATTTTTTTCACTGACCACACACATTTTTACTTGGTTTTGGCTGTTTTGGATGCGGACCAGGGGGGAAATTATTTTTCTTTTTTTTTTGCCGCGCTTTCAGTGTGTTTTACAGTTATGTGGGATTTTGAGGAACATCCCAAGGTATTTTTTGATAAGGCTGTGGATATGTGGCACAGGAAATCTGGTATACATCCGGCACGGATTTCCAAGATGCAGGAGCATTTTCTGCAAACTGTGTTGGCCGCCGTTCCTCCTCCTGTGGCTGGTTTGATGTCACAAAATCCTGTGTTGACCGGATGTGATCATGCAAAATGGGAAACATATTTGTTGCACAGTTTGCACATGTTTCAGGATATGAAGAGAAAAAAGGTGGACGATCAAGAAGAGTTGTCGCAGCACTTCCTTGGGCTGCAGTTGGAAGATGCTCAGTTCTCAGTGAATACACATAATAAACGGGTGACTATAGTTCCTGCTGCCCCTCCGAGGGCTACTTTTTTGGCTCAGGCTCCTGTTGCAGGAACACGGTTTGGTCCACACATCTATGATGCTCCAAATTTGCAGACTGAGGTTTCAGCTTGGCATGGTGGTCACAGGCAGGGGCTCAGATGGTCTGGTGTTAGGAGAAAGGGTGGACGACGAAATGCCTGTCGTCGCTGTGGCGAAATGGGACATTGGGCTCTGCAGTGTCCTCATAGGTCGCCGTCATCTGCGGACGATCCTGTCCAACGGACTTCCCCTGCTGAGCAACCTCCGAATGCTGCAGTGATCCCTGGCGGTGCTGGACGCCACCCTCACCATGGAGAATGCTGACATGCCCCACAGAGGCCTTTTGATCAGGAGCGTTGGCAGATCCCCTGATTAGCGGAACAGTTGATGGACATTTATTGTCATTTTTGGTGGAAACTGGAGCTCTTTTTTTTTCTTTCCACTATGAACACTGCCATGCTTTTTACAAGACTCTGATATGAATGCACAAGGGCTGAGGTTCTCTGAGGTGAAACAGACTCTGTCAGTGAATACATCTTTGGACACGGTGGGGGCAGATGGACTGATGGATCATGTCATGTCTGCTCTGTCATTTGCCTTCCTGGACAGTTTTTTGCTGCTGCTATAGGAGGAGCATATGGCTGATATGTATGGGGTCTAATTCAGCCAGAAAACACCTGACAGTGCCGGAAACCCTGGATTCTGACACTTGCACCGGATGAGTAGAAGTCTGTTTCCTCATGTCACGCTGTCTAAAAAATCTGAATGAAATCAAGAGCAATTGGTTGTAAATTTAGCGGGTTGGGACTGAATAGTAATTTTTTAGAATTTTGTGGACCCAGAAGTGTTGCTGCCGCAGTTTGTCTGACTGTGGTACAATTGGTTTAACATGCAGGACGAAGCAGTAACACATGTTTCTTTGGTTCTGTAACACAGCAATACAGTTCAGGACTTAGATGCTGTGGTAAAATGCCTTTTATATGTTTTGAATTTGAACATTATAGTTTCTCCTCCTCTATTTTTTCTCTCCATCGACTGACACGTATAAAATATAACAAACAAGAATTGTCTGTGTAAACACTGGTTTTGGGACGTCTTTTGCTCCCTGGTTATCACGGTCTGTTTGACATCACACCAATCACATTTGGTTTTACAACCTCTCCTCCCATTTGATTTACAGCAATTTCTGGAGACAGGAAGATAGGACAACTGGCAGAACACATGATTTGTAGAAGACTGTTTTGACTTTGGTAACCTTGTAGTGCCGGTCAGTACTTCTAGGTTCCTCTATGACTTATATTTTTATGTTGATTTTAATAGCGCTTTATTTAGTTTTTCTCTTGCTGGGGTTGTAGAGATGTTTTCTTTTCCTTACACAAGGTGACCGTTCGTGGTATGTACTTCTCCCACAGACGTTTGTTTTCTTTTTTATTTAGGAATGTTTAATTGGGTTTTGTAATGGTACTTGGCTAGTTGTCTATTTTTCAGTAGATGTGAATTTGGTTTAGTATGTTGATAATCTCCTGCTATCTGCTGCTGCATATTTGGCTGCACCTCATTATAATTTGCCGTTTAATTTGGATTTTTCTATAACAGAACTGATGTTCTTTGCAGTTCTGTTTCAGAAAAAGGGGGAGAGCAGATAATTCTCCAGTAAAACATGAGATTGAAATGAGAGAGCTGCAGAAAGCATTGCTTCTGTGGTGATTCATGCGAGGACTGTTGATGCTTAGATATAAAAGTTTGTAAATGGTAAGTATTGCGATTGAATAGGTGGAGCAGAACCACTTGGTGAAATCATTTAACATCAACAGAGTGTCGCCAGAAGAACTATCTATGGGGAAGGCAAGCAGAGCCATCATGAGATGACATCTAATTAAAGAGTATGTGCCATCCAGCCCGCACATATATACAAATATGCACAATCAATAACTTATTTTTGCAGCTTAAACGGAGACGGTTCATTGTGGGTGCACATGTGTGTTTCTCGTCTAGGTTGGCATGCTTTCAAATCTATTTTCAGTCAGACATTTTCCCAGGATTTCTTTTGGAGTGTATTTTAATTACAACTTTATTTATTATATTCTTGTATTATACTTTAATAGTTTATTTGAGTTAGAAGGAAGTGCTTAATTGCTTAATTTTTTGATACACTGAACAGATAGAAAATAAATGTCACTATAGTAATCTCTGGCCTTGGCCCATCATTTTTGGGTGTGGTGGCCCGAGTCATAAGAGAAACCGTCACAGGTCAGGTTGATAAGGTGATTCTCCCCGTAAATATGAGAATTAATGTTTTTCCAGGTAACACAGGGAACGACACAGGTAGGTTTTCACAGGTAGGTATTGAGGGGTTTTTGAAGCCATTTCTCAGGATTTTTTATATACAAGGAGTACAATTAACTGTCACAAGGATTTGATTACTTATTAGATTCCAGTGATGGATTCCAGGAACTTATGAGGTAGGTTGATGCTACATTTCAGGTATCAGGATCTCCAGGAAGTGGAACAAAATCCTGGGTTTGAATCATTTTATTTTTGGTACAATATATTATCCATAAGTTGCAGGCAAACGTGGGGATTGAATGGAACAAAATACAAAATTGGCTAAAATCTGTGTACAGACAAAATTTTAATGGGGTAGTTGCAGTGCCTGTTATATTGCCTGTTGCTTTGTTGTCTGTTAGGATGTCCATTAATAAATTTACAGGGCTTTTCTCTTCGTACGAGCATGAGATCAGAAGAAGATTTCCAGGGCCAGCCGTCAGAACTCCCAGATGGACAGGTAACCCTGTACATTTATCTCATAAAATTTTTTTGATGAGTTACAGTTAATAGCAGCGGAGTTTGTGGAGTACCAGGGGTCACAGGAGAGGTCGGAGAAGTGATCTGCATCAGGATACACCTGGGTGAGGCTGAAGGTCATCAAAACGGCAGTGGTCTGAATCCTGCTTCACTGAGCTCTACCAAGTCATGGAGAGGACGTCCGAGCCCTCCGACTGACGGTGTGATGAGAGACCTGGTTCTGATGGGGCCAGCAGAGGATCTTCACTTCACATCAGACCCAGAGGAGGAGCAACACTCTGGGCCAGAAGGATAGCAGATTTATTCCTGCTATAGGTTCTGGTTCCTGGAGTTCAACGTTTTGAGGCCCAAAACAGGCATAATAATCCTTTTTGGGTTTCTCTGATTGAATGAGAGGATGAAATCCCTCAATTACACTCACGGTGTTGGCATAATAATCCAATATTCAGTGAGCTTCGCATATTCAGGATGGACGCCTGCTAAAACTGTCGGGATCAAGAAGAAAGGAGTTGCCGATTATTGCGAACTCTTGCGAACTGTTGCGAACATTTCTTCCTATTTTTTCTCCAGTCTTTTTAATTTTTCTTCACCAAAGATTTTATATCTTTCAGGAACAATCGATGGACACGAAGCAACATAAAGAAGTAAAGACATTATTGTTTAATATAAGTGTGTGACTGTATGTATTTGTGTTATTTTTCTCTTCACAGCATTGTTGTGTTTTTACTGTTGAGTTTTACTGTTTTTATTTTACTATACTATTTTACTGTTGTGTTTTATTGTTTTTAATTTGGTGTGTTTTTCCTGCTGTTATTTTACAGGAATATTTGACTGTAAGGTTAGTTGTTGTACTGAGGTTAATTTTTATTATCTTTTGATCACCAGTGGATTCGATTTTCGATGGGCTTGTGATAGAGTGGTGTGAGGTATTTTTTAAATTTTTATTTTTTTTAGTCTTTAATTTCTTATTATATAAGAATATTGTTGTAAGACTAGTGGATCTCTACAGTGTTTCATGTTCTATTTTACTGTAGTTCTTTTGTTCAGGAATCATTTTTGGGAGTTGGTGTATATTCACGGGGTGACACGATGGCATTTGGTTTGCGTTATGTACACTGGAAGTTACAAATTCTAGTGTGTGTGGTATTTGGCCCCGTCTTGTTCGGAATCTGGTTTTTTTGGCGCTCTGCTGATGTGAGTGTCCCCTCTGACCCTTTTGTGCCCTCAGCGGGTTCAGTAAGGGAACTGGGGTTCCGGGGAAACATGACCTCCAGATATAGGCGTTCTTTAGGGTTTCTTCCTGACGCATGCCTCACTAAATACGGAGGTCTGGAATTTAATTATACTCTGGGTGCTACTGCTTCTTTTCATTTTGATTTGTGTGAAGTGATTGGTTGTTGGTCATCCCCTCGTTCATGGCAGACATATTCTGTGTATTTGTGTGGGGATCCTTTTTTCCAGCGCCATTGCATGAAGCAGGAGGACGGTTTTCACTCCCTGTGTCCAGGCTGGCAATCAGTTTTTCAGTGGTTGGGTCCAGACTGGAGACCACTCTACGGGTATAAATCTGTCACTGCCTACAACAAGGTTGATTTAAGGAGGGGTGTTCTTGGAGTTTCTCAAAGGCTGGGTTTGAATCCTCTCGTATTAACCATTGATACATTGTACAGTCCCTTTTTCAATAAGTTTCCCCGGGATTCTGCTGTGTATTTGGTTTTGGGGATTTCCCTGCGGGGGAGAGATCCTTTGGGGGTGATTAAGATAAATTTGGTAGTGCCTGATTATGTGAGAGAGGTTGCTCATCGGCCGGTTGATGTATATGCAGCGTCTTTTGATTTCACTGCGGTGACTCCTCTGGACATGGTTCGGGCTGAGACTGGTTTTATGGAAAATAATTTGTGGTTAACTTGGTTGGCACAGGTTGTTCAGGATGCTAATTTTGGGAATTGTGTAGCGTGCGCGACTGCTAGGCCCCGTCTTTATACGGAACCTGCCCCTTTGCACTTGGATGATGTGTGGGGTTTGAATTGCATGATTGCTCTAACCAGAGAGGCCACCCCAGTGAATTGTACTTTTCTTGCCGGTTTGTATCCACCCATTAGTAATCACACTAGGACTGGACACTTCGTGCCAGTGAAGGGTGCAGGTTCATATGTTTGTTTTAAGTTTACTCCCGTCGTTCCTCATTTGCTGGTGGGGGACATTCCCAGTGATTGGTGTAATCATACTCTGCCAGGTTCTTTGATTGGACATTGGGCAAGGTCCGGTTTGTACTATTATTGCGGGATTGATATGCTGTTTGTGCGTCTTCCTCCTCATGTTTTGGGTCTGTGCGCTATGGTTCGTCTTGCTGCACCGATCATGGTTGTGGGGGAGAAGCTTGACCCTGCTGACCGCGGGGTTGTGTCCACTCTTTTGACAAGAAGGAAGAGGCGGCTTGGTCGCTCAGCTCATTCTTTTGATTTAACAGCGGACTCTTTGACCTATATTGATGCGGTGGGTGTCCCGAGGGGAGTTCCGGATAGATATAAATTGGCTGATCAGATTGCTGCGGGTTTTGAGAATCTTCCTGTTATTTCAGCTCTGTTTCCTGTCACCCCGAATAAGAATGTTGATAGGATTAATTATGTTCATTATAATGTTTTGCGATTGGCTAATTTGACCAGGGATGCTGTTGAAGGTCTGCGGGATCAGTTGGCTCCCACTTCCTTAATGACGATACAAAATAGGATGGCGTTGGACATGCTGCTGGCAGAAAAAGGTGGTGTGTGTTATATGTTTCAGGAGACTTGTTGTACTTTTATTCCCAATAATACGGCGCCAGATGGTTCGGTGACGAGAGCATTGGAAGGGTTGAAAATTTTGAGTAAGACCATGCATGAACATTCTGGTGTTGATGGCGGTTTGGATCGATGGTTCACAACCATGTTTGGGAAATGGAAGGGCATCGTCATCTCGCTGATGGTGTCAGTGGCCACGTTTTTGGCAATTCTAGTTACGTGTGGCTGTTGCTGTATTCCGTGCATACGTTCATTGTTGATCAGGTTTATTGCTGTCTCCGTTGAAAAGGGGAGCGGCGCTACGCCGGGGCCGCCTCCTTATCAGATGCTTTTCCGTGGGGTTTTGGTACGTAGGCAGTAGTATTTTGGGTAATGCGGGTGAGGATATTTTTTGGTTGTTTTTTATTTCTCTCGGCTTCTTTCTTATGTATTTACTCCCAGCTACATATGGTCGAATATTTTAAGTGATCTCTTTTTGTTTCTAAAGAGATCAAAAGGGGGAATGTTGACATAGAATTTTAAGTTAGCACAATACTGCACAGGATAGCTTTGACACATATAAAATATAACATAGAAAGTTAAAGTACACTCTAGGTTCTAGGTTCATATAAATTTAGATGAAACTAAAAACAACGGCTCAATCTCTGAAACGCAGATAAATTCTTAAAAGGAGGATCAGACAGAAGAAACAGAAAACGTAGGCCTAGACTCCTTGGATCTCTTGAGATAAGGAGCCTATATGCCAGGCAATTAACAAATTCCTTAGCATGGTTCAAAAGTTCACTAGGATCTTAAAACTTTTTATAAATAATTTTATCTATATTAGAATTAACTATATTTCTTTAAGCATGTTTTTAAATAGTTACTTATTAGATCCAAACTTATAGTCATTATTTAGCATTACATTGTGTGCAAGCTTGGTTAAAATACAAACGACTTTTTTGTGAAAAACAGCTTGGGGAAGAGATAGCGCTGCAGCTGCACTCTATATCAAACTGGACAGCGGCAGGTACGAAAAGAGCCGGGCCATATATCTGCTTTTGGGGCTCTTTAGCAGGAGGTTTTAAAATTAACATTGAGACAGCCCACACAAAGGAAAAGAACACACCTCCTAATGCATATATTTAAATGAGGAGAATATGCAGTCTATAAAAAATGGTTTGTTTCACAGCAGAAGTTGGAATCTCTTTGTGCTGAGTGAGAGTTTCCCGGAGGATGCATCTTCTGTTAATCTGTTGTCTTTTTTACTCAGTTCTTTGTCTCTGTTTTGTAATATCTTGGACTTTTGCTCTAGGTGAGAGGCTTATTGTAAAGTTCTTCTTGGATTGATTTTCTCTGGATAAAACTCTGAATATCTGAAGTCTGACGTCGTACGATTGCTCTTTTCTCTCTGCACACTTACACAGACACAGGAATTTGGGACTAAGAATTAATTAACGAGCTAAGATCAAGTTCTTCATCTTTTTAATTCTTAACAGGTCCAAAGTTTTTCTAGAAACTTTCTGACATTAACCACAAAATTTATTTTCTTGCTGATTTTTATTTTTTCAAACTCAGGAAGTTTCCTCCTCCTTTCATGTTTTTTATCCACAAGGCCCTGAAACGCCGTCGCAGTGACAAACTGATAGATTTCAGAAGGTTTCAGTGGATGGAGGCCGTTTCCATCCACTGCTGACATCACAAACTGGAGAGGAACTAAAGTCATACACCGATCGCGTCACCGATCCTCAGCTGAATCACAAAAACCAAACCTTAAAAATAATCATGGAAAAGTTTGAGCTGCAGACATTTCTGAGGCAGGAAGTGATGAGAGCTGCTGCCGGTCTGACCTGGTGCTGAGCTGGAACGGCAGCCTGCCGGGGATCAGCGTCTCCGTCAGGTTGGAGCTCGGCTTGTTTCCAGGCCCGGCGAACACGAACGCGTCGAGAGGCTGCGTCTGCCTCAGCGGACTCCCCACCGGGAAGTCTGCAGCGCCGCCGCTGTAAATAGCCACAGCGCCAGACTCATCGCCTGAAGAGAAGCACAAACAGAAATGACAAAAACAGAAACAGATAAACAGTTTCCGTCTGTTTCTGAGGCTGAAAGTCATTTAATTAAGAAACCAGAGAAAATGCTGGAGTGATCTGAGCGTTTTTGGTCCAGAATGTCACTGCCCCTCCCCAACCTGCTGCTGCTCACGGGAAATGTCGCAGTTTGGAGATATTTTCAGCCACTGAGGATGTGAAAATGAAAACAGCGCCACCTACCTTTGTTAAAGCTGCAGTAACTTTGATAAAACTTTTTTTTTTTTACGTATTTGTTAAAACTGTCACAGATAAAAGCTACACAGCTACTAATTTTGCTAGTGACATTTGTCTGGCTGGAGTCCTCAGAAATTGTAATAGTTGTGATGTAATGATCATAAGATCATTAGAGGTGAGAGCTAATACTGGGCTTCTTTATTGTTGTCATAGTAACTCCATAGCCAGTGCCTGCCAAGATGGCCGTCAGTTAGAAAGTTTCAGGAAGTGTGACGTCACATGTACGTATTCAGGAATCTAACCTTTCATGAATTTCTTGTTGACGGTCATGAAGTTGAGTCCATTCCTGGAGGTGTCCACGTCCATGCTAACGCTAACCTTGTCTGTTTTCCCGTCCCACACCACCAGCACAACGGGCCCTGCAGCCGAGGCGTCCGTCAGCTCCACCGACCCGTCCACCTGTCCGCTGCCCAGCTTCAGCTCGTTAATAAAGGGGGTGGTCAGCGGCGCGGCCGGCGGGGTGCAGTTGTTCCGCTGACCTGGAGATGGCAGCGACACCCGGAAGCCCCATTGGTCGTCCGACAGCAGACACCTTTCCATCGACTCGTCCGCCTCGTGCGCCGCTTCGTCTTCAACAAACGCCGGCTCCCCGGGCGTCAGGACCTCCGCCAGGAACTCGGCTCCTCCGGAGCGCCGCGTCATGTAGACCACGGCGTCCACCAGCCCCACCGCCGTGACGTTCATCTTCTCCAGGTAGCGGGCGGCGGCGCTGCGGTAGAGGACCACGGCGTCCGGGCCGTTCTGGACCGTGTTTGGGGGAAGCAGGATGGCCGGCTTGGGCACCAGGTCCAGGGAACCGACCAGGAAGAAACCTCTGTCGTCCGTGCTGTGGTCCTTCAGGTCCAGAACCTTGTAGGCCACGTTCCCTTTGCCATTATAAAACACCAGGGTGTAGCCGTCCAGGGAGGCTCGCTGTCCACTGGTGTGGTAGAGCTCCACAAACTCGGTGGTGTCCAGTCCAGGGTTATCAGCGTTGATCTCGCTGATGATGAGGCAAGGGTCTGCACCGACCATCACCAGCAGGTACAAACAGATCCATAAAGTAACAAACATCTTCTATAACTTTTCTGGAAAGCTTCCACGGCACAGCAGCTTCTGGAAAACAGAACGCAGGATCATCAGCATATCGTATCCTTTAAAGAGTCAACTGGAGAAATGCTGTCATTTGTTTTAAAAGGTGACAATAAAAAGTACCAAAGACCAAATAAACACCAAGTTCAACCAAAAACAATGAGTTTAGTTTGAAATTGCAGAAAACACAGTTTGAGCATTTGGCCTGGTAGACATGAGACAGACAGACAGACAGACAGACAGACAGATAGATAGATAGATAGATAGATAGATAGATAGATGTTAATCGTTGCTAAATTAATTAACATTATTTCAACCTGTCATTTATCAGCATGTTGCTTATAAAGATCTCAGAGCAACATTATTATCACAATAATTACTGGGACAATTTATCGTCCAGCAAATTTGTTATCGTGACTTTCAGACGATCTCTGCATCACTGAAATGTTTTTTTAAAACATAAATCTATCATGTTGCTACAATAGCTGTATTAACAGATGAGCGGGTCTTCAGTGTGTTTTGCTCCCATTGACAGAAGCAATCCGCGTTTTATTCATGAGTCACCAAACGTTGCGAAACATAATGGAAACTTTGGCTTCAAATGAAGGAAAATCCTCAGCAGACTGGAGACAAAGTTACATGCAGCTCAGTTTTACACAGGATGTGACCAAATGTCCTACTTTTGGTTTCCCAGTGCGTCTTTTTGTGGGTTTATTGGTTTAAAGTTGCTGTTTGTGAAGCTGTGGTCCATTTTGGCTCGGAATGATCCAACAGTTATTCCGGTCACGGTCATGCATCTTTCCGTCGGAAGAAACCCGTGAAGCCCTGAAAACGAGCCTCCGGTACCGAGCTGAGACTCACCGGGCTCCTCCGGGTCGGCGGCGGCTCCGAAACATCCGAACTTTATGGTCCGGGAGGGAACATGGAGGCAGGCTGCAGGGAATAAAGCGTAAAGTTTGTTTTCTGCTCCCGTCATTCACAAAGCTCCGCTCTCTCTCCCCCCGCTCAGCTCCGCGCTGTGGGCGTCGCAGCCACGGACACAAGGAGCCGCTTCAGTTCCTGGGTTCCCACAAACCCACTGGAAAAAACACGGAGCAAGAAAACACGCAGAAACCGCAGGATGAAGTTTTAAGGCTGAATTGTGAAAATGTGTCTGCGAGTCGTTCATCGCCAGAGCCCCGCGGACCTGAAGGGGCCCCTGACCCCACTGTGCGCAAAGGTCCCGCCCATCACGCGTGACACATCCGTGTGAAGAGACTTGATTCACATCCTCACAGCGCGCGCATCAGCATTCACACCCACGCAACTTTTCACGTTCTCGCATCTTGTATGGAGAGAAATCTGGTCCAAAATGAGATAATGACGATGAGAATAACGATAAGAGGATTAGCATCATTTATCCACTGATCCGTTTGGATGTTTTACAACAGAAAACAACAAAAACAACAAAAACAGCAAAAAACAGAAAAAACAACAAAAACAAAAAAACAGCAAAAAACAACAAAAAACAGAAAAAACAACAAAAAACAGAAAAAACAACAAAAAACAGAAAAAACAACAAAAAACAGAAAAAACAACAAAAAACAGCAAAAAATTGAAAAAAACAGAAAAAACAGAAAAACAACAAAAAACAGCAAAAACAAAAAAATCAGAAAAAACAACAAAAAACAGAAAAATACAGCAAAAAAAAAAAACAAACAGAAAAAACAAAATAAAAAAAACAATAAAAACAAAACCAACAGAAAACAACAGAAACAACAAAAAGCATGACACATTTAGGATTTTGGTTTTCTAGAAAACAAACAAATCAAAACAAAATTTACCAGTAAAATCTCAGATATTTTCTTAAAAACTTTAACATTTCCAGAAGTCGACATTTGTGATAAGAAAAAATCTCAGAATATTTTACAAAAGAAAGAAAATTGTTTGAGCTCCAAAAGTTGAAAATGTACAATAAAAGACGTCAGATAGTCTAAAATTAAATCTCAGAAATTTTCTAGAAAAAAACCCCCAAACTGTCAACTCTATTTATTTTACTAATAAACTCGTAAAACAAGTTTGAATGGTGAAATAAAAATATTAAAAGAATTAATGCCTTGGACACTAAATAAGAGAAATAAACAACAGAAGCTCCGGATGCTTCCAGTTTCAGGATGACAGAAAAGTGGCTGCGCCCCCTGGTGGTAGGAAGAGGAAACTACAGATTCAAGGATCACATGTTTCCTTTTTTCAGTGTGTAGTGAAGCACGGCGGTGGCTCAGTGATGCTTTCTCTGCTGCAGCGCAGTGGCGTCACCAGCATTACTGATGTCAGGTTATAGACTCGGTCTCGGTTCAGTTTGAATGAATAATGTGAACACGAAGCGGACCGGAGGACTCTCCAAATGCAGGAAGTGGACTACCATGCAAGGCATTCTGGGTAAATGTAACCAAAACAAACGCACTAGCCTAGCACTAGCGGGAGAAAAGGGTTGAGAAATCCTCCAACTGCTAACCTTCGACGCTAGTCTGTTTCAGTTTACATTTTGTAATGAAGGAAGTTGTGCTCAAAGTCTTCAGAGGTTTTTTTTTGTTGTCATTTCCTTCAGTGTTTCTTGGTGCAGCTCCCCCACAGGCCAGGAGGGAAACAAAATTAATGTTTTTTTAAATTAATAATAACAATAATTGTGTTTCCTTATGTAAGTTAAGCTGGACCAGTGAGGGGAGAACCGCACTAGAGCGCCCCCTGGTGGATATTTTGTTATATTAATTAGTGACGCTAAACCAAAAGAAAACAGATCCAAGATGGCGGAAAGCCGGACCGATCGGTTAATGGTTTAAGCTGCTTGTTGTTCTTGTGCGTTGTGTTTCGGTTAATTGCGAATTATAATTTCTCCTTTGTTTTATGTAACTTTGGTGTAAATGTATGTTAAAGTAATTTAGGAAAATGTTTTATTTTAGCTCGCAGCAAAAAGGGCTCGTTCGTTTGTCTTGTATGTTTCAGTTTATGATGGTTGAAGTGGTGGCAGAGGTCAGAGGTCTCTCTTCAATAAACCACTAAAAAAGAAATAACTTTGGTTTGGTTTGGTTAGTTTGGTTATTGGAGCGTCGTTATTTGGCCGTCCAGCTGCTGAAGGAATGGAAAACTCAGGGCGAGGACAGGATGATAATAATATTAAATTAAAATATATATTTGTGATATTTATTCCAGCTGTAGTTCGTGCATCTTGTTTGCAAAATTAAAAATAATTCATGGCTTAATTACTAATTAGTTTATGGTTTTAAACAAATACTATTTATAAATATATTTTTAGAATAACAAAGAGATACAAATTTTGATTTGAACACATTTATTTTTCAATAAATATGCATTATAGCATCAGACTTTGCCATAAAAACATAATTTAAGAAGGAAAGAAAGAAAAGAAACGTTTCAGGGTCAGCTTGCAGCCCTCTGTCCTCGCCACCAGATGGCGCTCAGAGCGCAGGGTTTGATTGATTGTTTTTATTGCTGTGTGTTTGACAGGCTTTATTTAAAGGTCAAACAAAAACGTTAATGATGTGATTATTTTTATTTTCACAGCATAAACATCTCAGAGCAGGAAGTTGTTTTTCTGTTGATCTAAAATTTTCCCCTTTCTTGTTTTGTTGAGTCACAGTTTGATGTCTGAGTGGAAAACACTTTTATTTTCACAAGTTGCTCATTTTAAAAACCAATTTGGACTATTTCAGATAAATTACACGTTAGTCAAGGGAAGCCGAACCTCAAAGTCTGGTGTTGTTGAACGTGTCGCCACGACATCTTCACGGCGGTGACGATGATTGGACCCGAACGCTGAGTCATTTTACGGGCGGAGAGGGAAGCCAGCCTCAGATGACTCTGAAGGTCTTTGCTGGATGTTCTCATCAGAGAGGGGATGTTGGCCTGATTTACAGTGGTGACCCCGAGTGGTGGGGAAAAGGGGCCCACGGCCCCCCTGGAGCAGAGCTGCCCACCCCACTCGGCCCACAGAAAACCATTTGTTCCAACAAGCCTAAAATGATTTAAAACTAGATGTCTTTATTTTAATTTAGTAAATGTTGCAACAATAGCCATTTCCTACAATGAAACAAAATAAATCAGATGACATTATTGCTTGATTTTGGTTTTATTTTTCTTGACCAAAACTTTGTACATCTCTGGTTTAAACTATAATTTTCCTCAGAATGTGAAGTTTATTCAGTTCCTTTCAAACATCTTTCTCAAAATGTTTAGTTTATGTGGAAAAAGGCCATTTAAACACGTTTTAGTGTTCAGGTCTGCCACTAGTTTCATGTCTGAAATGTAAAGAAGGACTGAAGCTCTTTAAGAGGCAGGAAGCTTGCAGACGACAGAAGAAAAAACACAGTCAGAGTGGGAAACCTTGGAGACAAAGACACTAAGCGAACTGGAAACTAGACTGGATTACCAGGACATCAGCTGCATAACAAGGAGGGAATCAAAGAGTATATAATTACTGGGAGGGTTAATTAGGGAAGTGAATGGAGGGAAATTAATGAGAACAAGAAAACAAGTGGTGACATGAAAATCTGGAGTCAAGATAAGGACAGCAGAGAACAGACTGTGCAAATAAAACTTGTGGCATGCATATTTATTAGTTCCTTCGACTCAGATTGCTGTGATGTCACAGCTGGGTGACTTCGAGGAGCCAGCGTCTAGAAACTGAAATGTGCGTCCCATTCTTCTCCTGAGTTATTGTGTTAAACTGTAGGACTAAAAGTTTTTAAGGGATTATGTTTGCCTGAATTTGTTGTGATTTTCATATTATTCTAAAAGTTATTGTTTGTGATACCTAAAAACTCATAATAAAATTTTTTTTTTTTTGTGTTTATTATATTTTTCACCTGTGCAATGCATGCTGGGTCGATAACAGCAAGCATGAAGAATTTAGATCATGGAGGCCAATGTGGCGACAAAATCATCCGGATTCAAAGTTTAATGAACCGTTAAAGATCAGATATCTGTTGAAACAAGCTAACATGATGGCTTGTGATCTGTTTACAAAGGTAGCTAGTTAACACTGTTAGCAACATTAGCAGGAGCTAACAAGAAATAAACAGAAATTGGAATCTAAAGAGTGGATGTTCAAAGTTTCTTAAAATATCATTTTAAATTTGAGAAAATGTTTTGATTCTGTAAACAGTTTCACCGCTAGTGCTTTTCTTTCGGGTTAGCACCTAGCAGATAGCCGCACAAACACCTGAATCGATCTCTGGTCTGCTTGGTGTTCAAATCTGCGTTTGAACCGCACCAGAGTGGAAATGAACTTTGATTCAGTTCAAATGCAGATGTGAACGCCAAGTGGACTGGAGACCGCTCCAAAAGCAAGGAAGCAGACAACAGTACAGTGCATTCTGGGTAAAAACAACCAGAACAAATATGTTAGCTTGTGGAGTTTAGCCAAAGGCTAAAGAGAAATCCTCCAACTGCTGAAATCTGACACCTCTCCAGTTTTGTTTCAATTTGGGGGAAGAAGGAAGCTGCACTGTGTCTTCAGAAGTTTTCATGTCGTTTTCTTCAACGGCTCCCCCTACAGGCGAGGAGGGGAACAGGTTGGACCGCAGCAGCTGCAACTTTGGTCCCAATAGAACCGAATCTACCGAACTATCAGGTGGTAAAACAAGAGAAATACACTGAGAATACAAGAAATGAAACAAACGCTAAATATAAAAAGTTGTGCACAGAAGAGAAAAGAACCAAACAAAACTAAGATCAACTCAAACGAACAATGAAATGTCCTCACATACGTGACCATCTCAGGCTGCATGACAATCCAGAGCATGTAATCTGCAGCTGTGTCACAGTAAATAGCTTAGCATGCTTTTGACCCTAAAGGCCTCTGGCTAATTTTTCACCTCATTGGCCTGGGCAGATGTAAAAACTGGGACACTGAGGACAAAGGAGGCCTGTGTTCACATCCCCGGCAGGAAGGAACGGGCCGGTGGGAAGGATGCAGGCGGCGCCGCATCATCGGAACGCGCTGCTACGCCGCGCATTCAGGCTGCAAGACGATTAGTGACATGAACAGAAAGGGCAGCGATTCACCAGGGTTATTCCACCAATGTGAGGAATTATTTAACTGCACACGTATGAGGACAGAGGGACGACGATGAGAGACACTGCAAAATGAAAATGACTTTAATCTCAGAATTCTTACTTTTCTCAGAAATTTGAATTTTGTCAGAATAATTACTTCTTCTTAGAATTATGACTTTTTCAGAAACTACTTT